GGTATCGTAGCTGAAATAAACTTTATTAGCAAGGAAATCAGACGTGGTTACCCCATACATCAAAAGACTTACAGACGAGTATAATAGCTTCCAAATGACTTGGCAATCAAATCCGTCTCAACAAACTGCTCTGCCTCATCGGCACTCAAGTGCAGCTGGAAACGCTGCCTCAGGGTATTTGTCACTTGAGCCACGCCCACAGAAAAGCAGGGCATCTTCGAATCTCGACCCATCATAGCCACCAGGTCAATGATATTGTCGGCTGAGCGTCGGAGAGCTACTACACGTAAGAATACAGCAACATTGGGTCCAAGCAAACGCATCAGGGAGCCTACCTTGAAATGCCTGCTTGCATAACCTTTTGTAGTCATCATAGTCTGGCGAGTTCAAGCCCCCTAGTACATTCACATACTCGTGTGTGAGCTTGAATGGCGCCGCCTCAAAGCCAACCGATCCAGGAGAATTCGACAGCATGAAGCCAAAATCAATGTGAATAATATGCCCCTCACTATCGATCAAAACATTTCCATTGTGCCGATCCTTGAGCTGCAAGACATATGAGATGACGCTGTAAGCCGCGAGGGATCGCTTAAAGGCATCCACACCTGCTTTGTACGGCTCGCTATCTGACTGGCCAAAAGCCTTTACGAAGTGGTCCTTCAAGGTGGCAATTCGATGCCGAGGGTTCTGCCCGGACTCAATTGAGGCAAGAGTCAAACTTCGCTTCAGTGAGTGGAGCGACACGCCGTTGGTAATGGTCTCAATCAGACCCGATGACTCGCCCGTAACCAAGATGCGCATCAGCTTGACCCAAACGTTGACTCCAGCATCCAACCAGATTTTGTGGCAAACGTCGATCAGCTGGCAAGCAAAGGCTTCCTGTCTTAAGTCGGCACCAGTCTTGACAATGACGCTCACGAGATCCCAGTTCTTCATCCAGCCATAGGGGGAGGACTTCCGAATACGTTCCTTTTTGGCTTCCCATGCCTCACCAAAAACGGCTGCACTTGGGTCGTCACGGTCACCACGACGTTGAACACCCCCCGTCTTGAAGTCATTTTCCATTCGCTCCCTGCCTGCACTAGCATTTATCGCCGGGTCAATGGAGGCGTCCTCTTCCAGATCCGGGTTACCCGTTGAAGGTGCGCCTGCATTTGTCTTGGCAATGATGGTGTCAAAAGTCGGTCCTTGCTCGTCCATGTCGAAGCTCTTTTCTTCTAGGCTTTGCATACTCGCAATTATCTTGGCACGAATGGCAGCAACTTCTTGTCTAGGCCGCTTTCCACTCGTTGCATCAAGTTGCGCAAGCATCTGAGATGCGGTTCGCATATGAGTCGCAAGGGCCGAGAAATCAGGTTGATCTGCAGAGGCATTCCTTGGCAAGGTGAGAGTCATCTTGCGCCTCGATCCTGGACTGCTGGATCTTGATGTCGATTGCCCTGATGTACGAGGAGTGGCAGCATCCAGCGTCGTAGAAGAGGTCGTAGCTCCACTTGACAATCGCTGCGAGGTATGAACTTGATGGTGCTTCGTCATTGGTCTGGAGAACGTGTCATCTTCTGGCATTAGCAAAGGCGAGCTTCCCAAATCCCCAGAAGTGGGTTCAAAAACGCTGTCGACAACGGGCTCAGGTGTCCGTGCAACTGGCATAATTTTTGGGGTCTCGGATGATAAGTCAAAAAGCCGGCGCGCCTTGCCACTAGAATCTAATAGTTTGGTGAGAAGTCGATTGTTATCGGGTGTGTCAGGGTCAAAGCTGAAGTCTTCTCTGAGAACTTCTACCATCATGAGATATGGCACTTTCTCAGCACTGTTCAAGACGGTTGCCTCCGCAGGATTGAGTCGCACTATTCTGTGATGGCGACTCTTTCCAGGCGATCCATTGACCAAGGTTGGAGGGCAGATTACAGGAACGTCAACCTCGGCAGGCAAGTCCCGTGCAATGAGCGCCAACTCAGCACGCAAGGCGCTCATCCTCGCTTGTTTAGGAACTATTACCAGGCGGTTAGATATGCCCTCGAGGGCAGTCAGGAATTGGGTTTGGGAGCGGAAGTAATGCTGGCGCAAAAGTTTCGTCTTATGAGTTTGGGACAGATCGGCAGGATCGGGAACAGCCTTGGTGTTGTGCGAGTGTCGCCGATGGATACCGCTTTCGTTTGATCGAAGTGTTAATCCAGCCGACACGGGAGTCGAAGGACGGCTCGTCATTTGTGGCGAAGGTAGGGGCAATGAAGCAGAGCTGAGTCGGGCTTCCACGGATCCCAACTCCAACGCCGACGGTCGTTTAGATTCAGAAACGATTCTGCTTTTCTGTAATGGGGTTGATGTGGGCAAATGAGGCACGCTTCTGGGAGAAGGGCGACCATCCTTGAGGCCATTAGCACCAGGCAAGGACGCGATTGGGTTTTTAGCGTCTTTAGCCCGTCTAGATTTTGACGTCGCTCCCGTTACAGTTTGTGCTCTCGTTGGAGTTTTGACAGGCTCGTCGGTTTCGGGAATAAGCTCGGTAACAGGTTGAGGCTTCCGAGCCTGTGCAACCGCAAGTGGTCCCGCCCACTTCGGAATCATGGGCATCGCAACACTGGCGAGGACGAAGCTGGACAAAACAGTCACTGGCAAGACATTCTCCTTGATCTTCTCGTGCCGTGCTCTATCTGCCAATCCAAAGACAATGTGCTGGACTTTGTTGTATACTCTCCGGCAGGTTTGAAAAGCTCCGGTCTGCGGATTCGAGGAAAGATCGTAAAGGTACGTCTGGAAGAGCCAGAAAGTCTGTATAATCCAATTGGAAAACGTCGTTAGTTTGGACTTGGGCCCAGTTCGATTCGTCCACCGGGTTACGGTTGCGTCGGGTAGGTCACGTACCAGCAGAGCAGCAGTCACGGATTCCTCGCATAAATCCAGCAGAAACTCCTCCAGGGCCATTGATTCATTATCGACGCTGATTATAAGGTGGCATAGCTGCGGCAAGAAGAACTCGATATCCTCGTACGGGAATTGCCGCAGTTTCTGGCACAGAACATAATGGATGCCCACATGGTCAGCGTATCGCCTGTGGCAAGGTGACGCAGGTCAGCTGAATGTTACAGTTGGAGAAGACGGAATACAGCAGCGCGTAGCGGAGGAGGTGCTTCGATAGCACGAGGGACACGAGCGGCACTCACGAAAGGTATGAGACTGGTAGAAAGGGATTCGAATTGAAGACGTCGGATTCGATAAATCTCTGAAGCAAGTCCCACGACATTTGGGATTCGTCTCGACAGGGCAGACGAGCGGACAGGAGTCAGGGTGACAAGGCGACAAGCTAGCGGCAGTAGGCAAGTTGGCTGAGGTGCCTCATCTAGCTTGAACTGGAGAAGGTTGCAACAGACAGGTGGCTCGTTCGCATGGCTAGGGGGCAAAGGCGACGTCACGGGTTGAGATTGAAGCTCGATGACTTGGCCCGGTCGGTGTTTGAGGTGCTCTGGTTGCAATAATCTAACAAGAACATCTAGCAATTGCGATTGTGACTCTGTCTGCGTCTGTGGTATGTACAGTTAGGGGGGACGGGTCTAGAGGAAGCAGATCAGTGCGAAGACGGATAGCGTTGATGCAACGGGGTCGCGGATTGGAGGGATGGATGAGATGGGGATCTTGCATGGGGTGTGAGAGGGTGGTGGATTGTGTTTATGGCTGTTGGATGTGTGGGTTGTGGATTACAGTGTAGGAACAATATTTGACGTCGTTCAGCGGCACAGTTTGCTGATTACTACTAGTTAGAATTACTTAGTGATTGACAAGTAATGCCCGGCAGTACTTGAGTCAATACTTTACACTGGAACAGCTTGGCATTTGGCTGGGAACATTGCCTTGATTGTTTCCAGAGCTTTCCCGGCAGCAGTTTGGACTGTTTATGTTCATGCTATGCTTCCCTGACGCGCATGAATATTGCCTCTAGTCCCCGGTCCGTGGCGTCTCGGGCTCATGAATCGTCCACAGTTGACAGGTTAATAAAAGGAGACTTCGCACCAAACAGCACGTTGACTGGTTCACCGCCCGTGGTACTGCTGAGACAAGACGGCCCGCCTGCTAACTTGGGGTTGGCCTGCTCGAGTCTCCCCAGTTCAAGAGATCACTGCTCCACCACAATTTACGAGGGACTCGCGACAAGATCGGCAAAGAGGTGGGGGGAGGGGGAATACCAGACATACAAGATGCTATGCAAAACGGAGTATTTCACCGCGAGCCTTTTTTTTTTTTTTTTTTGAGACAGCATCATTTTCTGTGGCACGCTCAACTCGCACCAAGTCGTTTTTTATAGGCCTTAAAATAATAAATGCATGCAGGAAGTATAGAGTACTTGACATATTCTTCGCACTTACATACAGTACTTAAGTACTTAAGTATACAGTCCTTGATGCGCCTTGTCGTTGGGTGGTCAAGAGGTCACTAGCTCCAGACTGAGCAGCTGTCTCTCCGTGGAAACACTGGACATAGCATAACACGCGGCCCAAGCATGGAAATACACAAGAAATTTGCACGCGAGGACTCGGGGGAGTTATTGGAAATTTGACCATCGCTACTGCGAACATTAATGGCCGGCGGCGCGCGTAAATCGACTTGTTTCTGTTCGGGTTGGGCCTAGGGTAGCTCTGCAACTCTGGAGATAAAAAAAAAAAAAACACAAAAAAAAAAAAAACCATACGGTGTCACAGGAATGAGCCAAAATAGCCAAATTTGGCTCATGTCAAATTCTAGCGTTGACGCCGTGATAGGGCAAACTCGCACAACACTATCGACTCTTCAAATATGCCTCATCGCGTGGTGCTGTTCGCGCCGTGTCGCGTCCAAGAAACAACAGCTGCCCCGAACGCCCGAGAAGTTTTATGCTAACCTACCCGAACGCCAATTCACTCTCCCCCGAGAAAAATAAAACAAAATACAAAGCTTCAATATTTCCATTTCCAGTCATTATGCGTGCCCATGATCCAACACCGAATACGGAATGCACCCTATCGCGTCTATACCTTCCTCCTACGGCCGCCCCCTCGACCCTTTTTCTTTGGCTCAGAGTCCTCGTCGCTGTCACTTTCAGCCTTAGCCTTGGATTTGCTCCCCTCCTTCTCATTTTCGACACGGCCAACAATTTCCCGCAGGAAATCCCATTGGTCGTCAGTTTCGACAACCTGCTTCAGCATGGGTGCTGTAACTCTTTTTGATCCCTTGTCCTTGGCAACCTCGGCGCCTTTGGTGACCAGTTGAATCATGAACAGTTCTAAGGCCTTGCCCACAGCAATAGGAGTCTGCTGTGCAACCTTGCCAACTTCCTCATCGGCCTGCATGATGCGTTTAATTCTTGCTGTGGGGAACTTGGTCCTGACCGGTGATGGCTCAATGGCAGGGGCTGCCGGCTGCGCCGCAGCTCTTCGCGGAGGCATTTCTGAATCAGCCTGCCGGGTTGAGCCTGGTGACTCCGGCGACGACTTTTGGGAGTATTCTTGCTGAAACTGCAGCAGCTGCGGCTGCTCGTGCTGGCGCTGCTGGATTTGTCCGGAATGCACCTGGCCGAGGTATGGCTGTTGTAGACGGTAAGGGTCCTGTTGCAGAGGCTGCGGTGCTAAGTGGTTTGAGGTCTGGCCCGGTGGTGAGTATTGCTGCTGCACGGGCGGAAAGTAGGCTGGGAACTTGGACTTGATGTGCTGTTGCTGAAGAGATGTCGAGGTTTGCGGCATGGGTGGAGTGTAGGAAGAGCCATAGGTGTAGGCGGGAGGCTGCACTTTATATTGACCTGGCCCTTGGCCGTGGCCGAGAGGATGTTGTGAGGCAGGCTGGGTGGGGCCGGAGCCGCTTGAATAAAAAGAAGAAAGGTCGGGCGACTTTGGCGCGTAGTTTGAGGTGGAATCGTCTCCCGACATGGCCGGCTATTTGTATTGGCGGGGGCCCACCAGACCCTTTCCCTTCCTTTACAACTTGGAAGCTTTTAAATGCGCGCTATCTGGTACGGTTACGCCCCGACCTATGAACACCGGCAAGCTTGATCTTATAACGGCAAGCGATAAATTTAGCTGGGAAATTAGTCGAATTTTCGGCAATGGAGTGAATGGCGTAATAGATGTGATTGGGCTCGACGACTGTAGATGTCGAAAGAAGCAATCCCTTACGTCGACACTCCTGATAACGTGTGCGGAGTGCTGTATAATGCCAATTCAACTGCCTTGTACGCGTGCATTTACATACACTCCTCGTATAAATGACCGCCAATGCACCAGTACTCAGCAGCGATGATCGCGACGTCTCCTCTATAGCAGCCGATAGGGATAGGGCTGGCCTAGGGGTTGACTGATCTATGACGGCTTGGCCTTGACACTGGGGACTGCGCGTGTCGACCAATAGCGAGCTCGGAGAATGTATGTTTTGCTGTGTCGAATTATCCAGTGATCTAGCGATGGCGTACAGGCTATATGCTCCGCAATGTCACCGTAATCCGCAATAAAGGTCTGGTGTTCTGATGTGTAAGTACAGGTACGCTGTACTATGGCAGGATGCGTGAATGTCAGGCGCCCAATAAGGGCCACCCCGAATAGGGCCCAGACGATGGAACTTGTGTGTAAAGTGAGGCTGGCGGAAAATGCAGTAGATGACAGAAAATACTAGACCATGCCAAGGTGTACAGCCCCTGTGGCGAAGATATGTCCTTGGATAAAGTACAGTTGTACTCCGCCAAATGTTAGCGGATTCCCAGAAACGGACAAATATTTCTTGCCAAAGGTATAATACACGGCTACGGTAGAAGATGTTTCTGCCAAAAGCCAAAGAGCAGGCGTCGACCCGAGAAGATCCGGATGTTGGATGTTGGACTGAGACTTATAAAGTCGCTGATTAAACAGAACACGAGATCCAGGCGACTCCTTCCCTGCAGATGGTTTAATGTTGGTTGCTACTGTCGATCCTCTCACGGCTCAACAATGACGCACTTAGCGACTTCCGAAGTGGGAAGTAAGGCGGGCCGACGGGAGCAATCGCGATGCAGCGGCGTGTTGCAACTCTTAGCCAGGAGGTTAATTATAATTGAAATTGCGTATGGCCCAGGAGAGATCAAGGACCTGAGAAATGATCAGAAAGGGTAAGGAGGCCAGGGGTCTTTGTGGTGGGAGTGAGGTGCGTGGTTTGTGTGTCTTGTCTGTAGACAAGGCTCGCCCCATCCAAAGTATTGTACTGAAGTAGTACCCAGCCTCGAAGCCAGAGCTAGGAGCTGCGAGCTGGGAACAGCGAGGGGCGTGTGGTATTACTCCGTCCTCTGTGCGCGGTCCGTGGTCCAGATGAAATGCACGATGATGCCTTCACCTTGTGCCAGATCTGTGTGCGGCTGCGGCTGCGGCTCGTCTGCCTGTTTGTCTTGCGATGCCTGGACCAAGAAGCAGAAGTGACGGAAGGCTACTGAAGGCAGCGACCGGTATTGTATGGCCGACACAGATGAGGAGGGCGTGTCTTGATGAGTTGGGTGCACACGCGAACGGCTTGCTTGCGGGCCATGGCTGGATCCTTATAGCACAGATCGGGCCCGGCATTGCTGAGGGAATGCTGACCGTTTATATGCGCATCGCGAGGGGTGTGTGTGTGGCGGACGTCTGGGGAGTTGGGAGTTGGGACCTGTGAGCTTCACAGCCTTGAGGATCTGTGCGACTGTGAGACTTTGCGACGCTGCCGTCATTCGTGCGCCAGATGACCATGGGATGACCGTGGACGGCGTGGAGGGCCGAGGAGGACCGTGGAGGACCCGTTGACGTCTGCCTGGACTGTTCCATCTCTGTTCACAAGACTGGGGGTGGATTTAGCAGAGGGGTCAACAGTGCAGGTGGGTGCTTGCTGCCGAAAGCGGTAAGGCCATCGTGTATCCTCACTTGCGCTTTCCCATGTCGACCCGGCGCTTGCTGATTCCAAGCAGGTGCGACGACAGCGCCATGGCTGACATCTGGACATGGACGGATGTCGCACATTTGGCGCCATTTGTCGTCTTACGGAGTAGTCTGAGTTCAGTCACCAGATTTTCACACTCTGTCCTTGCACATTTTCTTCCAGCAGCTTAGACGGAAAGCCTCAACGGCTGACGCTAAACAACAGGGCCATCAGCCAAGTCAATCGAACAGCGCGTCAACCTGGGCAGCTTTTACTCCGTCCGAAACCCAAGCGACATGTTCAGGTGCCACTGGAGCCAGATCCGCCCCACTGCTAGAGTACTAGCGTACTCCGTAGAGCTGGAAAGCTTTTTGACGAGCTTTGATCTTCACTTGCGCAATGTCTTTTGCTCCTCTTCCTTTGAGCTCCAGGATCCCGCCTCGTTGGGTGCCGTTGTTCTCTTCGGCCGTAAATCAGGCACACGCACCGGAACGTCCTCCAAGCGGTTAACAACTCTTGCGACCTGCGAAACCTGCATGCCACCACTGCAGCCTCCCATCCTGGCTATTGCCTGAGGTAATATGGCTCCTGTCATGGACTGCCCACCATTCATAGTTGGATTGAAGCCTGCTTCTCCGCATTCTGTTTCCTTCCCACTGATGAAGTTAGATAATCATAACGGATGCCATCCCAGCAGAGCCTATGGTCTAATAGTCAGGCACCACTGCGATACCACTGCGAGACATCTGGCTCGACATAGCTTAGTGGTAGATCAGTTCCGTGAGGTAAGAATTGTCCCCCACTGCTTCTCTTCCAAGGTGGCAGTGCATAAGTAATCTATCACTGCCGGCGTTGAATTTATGATGATGCAAATCATGAGCTTTATAAATCCCAGAGACGACGTGGCGGTGACGAAGCCGAGCACATCTTGGATGGCCGCTCTGGTTCCTGAGCTGCAAATATCATGTTCTGTCTATGATTGTACTCTTTTTTTAAACTTGATCTAATCTGATGCTTCTATGTCAGAGATAGTATTTTTCTTTCTTGTGACAATGTCATTCATGAACTTCTGTCTAACGTGCCCGACGATAGATTCGAGTCCCTGTAACCGCCGATCCCATGTTCCAGACAGCATTAGTGATGCCACCGGCCATGCGTGAATACCGCCTTTGAACTCCATGGCGTCTACTTCGATTTTGTTTCTTCGTTGATGACGAACGAATGCCTCTGCGTCGGGTGCAAGCGTCTCTTCCTCCCCATAGACGATGAAGTATCCTCGCTGTGGACTAACTGCTGTCCAGAGGTCTCCGTCTTCACACAGTCCGGGTGATGCTATAGGGTCATGTACCGCTGATCCTCTATACGCCTTCCCGTACTTCCACAACGTGTCTCGTTCTAGGTAGTCGACCTCTGATGGGTAGTGAATGTTTGAAACGAGCGTAATCCAGGGTGAGATCAGGACGGCCAATTTGGGGACAGCGAGTGTCGTCGCGCCGTTCAGTTGAAATTCATTCGTTTTCTTCCCTAGCTCTAAAAGAAGACTGAGTGTCAAAGTCCCGCCGGCTGAGTCTCCAGCGATGCACACCTTGGATGCGTCTTTGACGTCTTCCAAAACGTGCCTGTATCCAAGGACGGCCTGGTTGACCTGAGTCGGGTGCGTTTCCTCGGGTGCGAGTGAGTATTCTAAGGCAAAAATAGCTGGACTCTCAAACCCAGATTTTAGGAGCAAGTGATGCATCGATAGTAAAAACTCCAAGTAAAAGTAACATGAGCCCAGCGCAAAACCGCCACCTAGGTGCTTGGTCAGCATAGAGGCAATTTAGCATACATATTCCGGCAATGGATTTAGTATCCTGGATGTTGTGAGTTCCACATACCATGAATGTAGTAGACCACCACATCGGGTTCCTGCTCCGGATCATGCTTTATCCAAAGACCCGCGGTAGATGTATTGCCCTGTCTACCAATCAACATTTTTTTTTTTACAATCAGTGTACATCAAGCCTCGGAAAGTTTACCTGCTCAATGACCGTCTCCTGCAAGTGGGCAGGAAAGCTAAAATGACCGCTCCTGAACATCCTCCATTTCAAGAACGGATATGCAAACTGTTTCGAAAAGAGGACCCTGGCCGCCCTGACGGGAAGATTCATGAATCCATATCTGACGATTCGAATCACCATATCCTCAAAAACAGTGGACTCGGCAATAAACCACGGCTGTGCATAGCGAGGCTTGACGTATCGAGCGAGAAAATGAAAGGGGAGTTTGAATACTTTTTGTTGGACGTGGTCAGATCGGAGGCACACCAGAGAAACACACAGCTGGGAGGATCTGTGACGGAACTCACAAAGAAACGGCAGAATTCTGATGATAACCGTCAAAGTAACCAAAGGACCGACCGTGAAGAGCATTTGGGGCGCGATTATGATTCCGGCGACCACGCAGTCTAGGAGGGAAACGGGACCGAGGATCATTGTAATTTGTAACGGCGGCCGTAATTCAGGGCCCTGGCCTGCTGTGCTGGGTGTTTATTCGAGACGTGAAGAATTGTCAATTTATCAAAACAATGAGGGAACACCAAGGGACCATGGCTGTTTGATGTTTATTCAAAGCCCTAGGCTGGCAAAAAGAGCATTGAGACCAACAGTCAGTCACATGTTTGTCGGAGGAGAGCTTGAGGACATTGGACCGTCGGCGCAAAGAGGTCGATTAGTGACGCCGTAGCGGGACACCAGCTGTACTTTTGTTGGTGCCGACTATAGCTCCCCGATCCAGACCACCCTGGAAATAACGTGCCCGAGTGAATAAGTTCCTACTAGCTTCCAAGTTTTGGGAGTAATTTCGCCTCGACTTAGTATCAAGCCTTTGGGCGTTGAATGCCGATGAAACAGCACTAGTCGTGGTTTCTTCAATGTTTGGATCAAGACGCATTAATGCCATTGACATTAGGTAATACGGCCTGGGGCACGACGCCGCGCACTTTCACCGCTGACTTCAGCAAGGCTGGCATGCGTGGGCGGCCGTGAATACTCCGTACAAGGGCATCATTTCAATTCACGGACATGTGTGAGCATTGACACGGTCATCTAGCCTTCGCGTACACACACTCCGGCTTTTTTCAGCTGGGCGGGCGGCCACTGTACTATTCCGCCCACAGCGTCTTCAGAACCCAGACAGCGCTGAACGGAGAAAAATGGGCGACAATGTAGCCAACAGCCAGAGGGAGGAAGCGCCGTTTCCTCTCACAGACGTTGACAAGTGGGTGCTTTCGCAGACGGATGAGGAGTTTCAAAAGCACGACTGGGAAGACTTGAAGCAAGTGATCGGTATGGCGAACCACGTCCCTCTTCACCAGGCGAACAAGAAGTATTCCAGGGCTTTGCTGATTCGGCCATAGAGACCAACAATCTCTCCGTGCTTAAACGCGTCCCCTCAGATCTGAAGCGCTACATAAAATGGACGGCTGAGACCAAGGCCCAGTACGGCAGCATGACGCAGTACCTCCTCGCCAACCGACTACCCAAGTCGTGGGGGCAGCCTCCCTTCTCGCCAGAGTCTGATGTCCCGTTCGACAAGGAGTCGGACTACAAGGTCCTCTTGAATGACTGGCCATATGGGCTTGAGTCCAACATTACACACATAGTGGTGTGGACGCGTACGTTTATTGCGACGGATGACGATAAGGGAGATATGACGCCCGAGAGTAGAGCTTTGGTGGAGGCTTTTGTGAAGAGATATTTTATTGACTCGTTGGGTGAGGGGGGTGAGGACAAGGTTCTTTGGTTTAAAAATTGGGTTGCGTTGCAGAGTGTAAGGGCGCTAGAGCATATTCACGTCTTGGTGAGGGATGTGGACGATGATATGTTGGAGCGGTGGTCGGGGGAGAGACCGAGGCGAAATTTCTGACGGGCCTGTTGTATATACTTGCACTCTTGAGTATGACGCCTGTCTACTTGAGTTGAAGAATAGAGCTGGCGATAGAGTCTGGCCGCGTGAGGGCGCTAGAGTCATTGACAAGCCGCGGATGGCATTTTGGGAGGACAGCCTTTCAAGTCGTCTTTTGTCACATTTACATTTACATATTTCCTTTCCCTTAAGCAGCCCTCCGTGCTCTCCGGTTGCCCTGAGGAGCAGCCGTACCACCATTTCCGCCCTGCATCTCCGCCATCTTCTGCTTGCCCATGCCCAACAGCCCCGAGCCCAGATATACACCATAGGCCGGGACTACTGTCCACAATAGCCATCCCCAATTGCCGAACAGCATGACGACAATGGCAGATGCCCATGTCACCCAAACAACGTCAAACATGTACTCGGTCAAGCCAGGGTTAGAGAGGTCCTCCCCAGCAGTCTTGAGAGCTCCCGTGGCGGCGTCATACTTGGGGCGGCCTGATATCTCCAGAACGTACTCGCATATGATGCTAGGTGTGATGAATAGCCCGTAGGCCACGAGGGAGCGAGAACGGAAGAGAAAATGCGACAGTAAAAAGAGCACGTTGACGGTCAGAGAGCCGATGTGAAGGGTGTTGAGGGCTGATGAGTTGGATTTGGCCCGGTCCTTTTTTGCCTTTTGCGCCATTATGCCGGTCCACGTGTGTGCGCGCGAGAAGGTGAGATAGACAGGTACTATCCTTAGAGGAGGGGCTGCGGAAAAGCTGTAATGAAGGCGATTGGGAGTGGGCGTGAGAAATATAGGTGGCGATAGATAAGAGATGTCGTCGGGTTTGTGGGCCGAGGAATTTTGGAGAGGTCGATGATGTCGATTCTGCAATTTTGCATACCAGCCAGAAACCACCTTGCGTGATGGGTGATGGGGCATCGTACCTGCCTAGGCGCCAGGCTGTGGCGGCCCCCAACAGCCTCACTGCGAGCGGCAAGACCTTTGAGGCAAGGAAGGAGGGATCCACAGCTTGTCTCTGTTGCCGGGCAAGCAACGCTGCAGCGCCTCTCATCCAATCAAGCGTCTGCCACCACAGCAACTGCGCGCCTTTTGGGCAACCTGGAGGCGAGGCTGGTTGCTTGGCCGGCTGCTCACCTCATCCAGATGTCATCTGTTGCTCCCACCACTGGACTTTGCCTCCTGCGTTCCGTCGCTCATCAGCGCCGTGGCTATTTTACTAACAGACCTGCGCACCCGGCTCGGCGAGAGCGGGAATAGCTTTGGTTAAGCTTGAGGGCCTGCTGCGACTCACGCGTCTTCAATTTTTTTCCGTCTCGTATTACGAAGCCCTCTCTCCCTTGCGCTGTCATGTATTGTCGCCGGAATCGTCCCTCGCACGCACCGCACGCCTAAAAGTCCTGAACCTAGAAGGCGTTGGCCGGGGACCCACCGTTTTTGAGCTCATCAATACTCGACCCAAGGCCATCGGAATTTTCTCGCCTTGCCTGTCGACTCTTTATTTCCAGGCTTTGACGATCCAGCGTGCCTCTGTCGATATCCCTGAACGAATTTTGGCTTCTCACTGCCCGTTCCTGAGGGTGCAAAGTACGACGACCTTTCGCTGCCGGCGTTTATTTTGGTGGAGCGGTTGTGCATCTTGTTCACAACAACAAAACACCACCGTTATCTCGACGACAACCACGACTGACGACGTAGCCGTTGCGCCTCACGAGCCAGCAGACAGGGTCGAAATTTCGCCATCGGGTAGCTCTCTATTTCGATTACGCCCACAGGGCCCAATTGTTCGCGTCCAAAGTGCCTGGATATCCGCCTCAGGTCGGCGGCTCCCCATGGCACCCTCATCTTGATAATTCTTCCACCGATTGGCAATTGCCTGACGAGCCCCTCTGTTTCGTTCACCCGGGAGCGTGGCCTGACCCGGAATGGCGCCAAACCCGGCGGCCGTTGGGGGCCTCCTGCGACAGGTGATCTATTATCATCTTGACAATGCCTCCTACGACAACGCGCTGTTTTTTGCCGAGCGATTTGCCGCCCAAGATCCCAAAGCAACTGATGCTGCATATCTCTATTCACTTTCTCATCTGCGGCTGGGTGACTACCGGTCTGCGTATGATATATCGAAACCCATGGGATACCGAGGGGTCAACCTGGGGTGTACTTGGGTTTTCGCTCAGGCGTGTCTAGCGCTAGAACGATACAAGGATGGTATCGTGGCCCTTGAGAAGTCCAAGTCCCTATGGCCACAGAAATGCAGCCTTGGGAAACACACAGCTACAACGCGAGCAGCATTTCCGGACACTCCTGCTCTTCTTTGCCTGCTTGGAAAGCTGCACCGCGGTTACGGAGATAAGAAGAAGGCTGTGAGCTGTTTTGAGGACTCGCTTAAGAAAAATCCCTTTATGTGGGATGCGTTTACGGCTCTTTGCGATATGGGCATTAATGTTCGCGTTCCCAATATTTTTAGATCAAATGAGAGCTTGCTTCAGAGCTTCGATTCAGACATCGGTATAGGCGTTATAGATCATCTGAGAGAAGCGTCAGCGTCAGCTGGAATACCGGTGGATGCAGTGTCGTTGAAACGATCAACCGCGAGAAATATGCCTGCGGATTTGGGATCAGATCCTTTCAGTATCGGCTTCTCATCTACGGAAATGAGCAGCCCGGTAGTAGACATGTTTACCGAGGCTCCGGAAAACGACTTCATGTCTAAGATCCAGAGTGCTCGATTACGACTCGCAGCATCTGCGAATATCCAACCCCCATCGATTGTAGAAGGGATGGAAACCCCGACAGGGCTCTCAACTCTGTCCGATGCAACAGCAACTCGGCCCATATATGGTCAGGAACCACCTCAGGCGCCTGCGAGGCGAACTAGGAATGCTCAAGGCATTGATGCTGGATTGGATGCACCGCCACGTATGAGCTACAGACTAGGGACGAAGAGGAACGGTAGACCTGGCCAGGAGCAGCATGCCGTGGAGACTGTGCCCGATGGTCCAGCGACAGCAACCGCAACAGCAACAACGACCAGTACCAGAGCTGGGCATATAGCCGCGACTGAAAGAAAGCGTACCTTGTCAGGTCACCCAGTCCCAAGATCGACAAACACGGACGAGCATATGACTAGACGGAGTGCTAGGCTTAACATGTTTAAGCCGTCTACAAAAGCTAACTCTGGGGCAGCGACAATAGGCACGTCGGCTGGGCGTGAGTTAAAAAAGGCTAGGCCCCCGGTGTCACGCATCATGCGACCAGGTTCCAGTGGTTCCAGCGTCGGCAGAGTTGTGAGTGGAAATAGAAAACCTGTGGATGACCAAGCCGACATAGATCACGGAGAGTCCTCAAGAACAAGGGAACCAGCGCCACCGCCAGCGCCGTCCAAAACAATAGAGCCGGATACTGTCAAGGTCGAAGAAGCGCTTAAGTGGACCCTGGATCTTATGAAAAAGCTGGGCAATGGCTACTACGCTCTTTCAAGGTTTCAATGCCAGGATGCGATTCAGGCCTTCAGCTCCCTTCCATCTGCCCAACAGGGGACCCCATGGGTCCTCTCCCAGCTGGGCCGCTCTCACTACGAGCAAGCAGCTTACGCGGAAGCGGAAAAATTCTTCCGCAGAATGCGAGTACAGGCCCCATCTCGCCTCCAGGACATGGAAGTGTACTCGACCATACTGTGGCACCTGAAACGAGAAACCGATCTCTCCTTCCTGGCGCATGAACTGGTCGACTCGGCATGGCACTCGCCACAGGCTTGGTGTGCATTGGGCAATGCTTGGTCTTTAGCACGAGACCCCGAACAAGCGCTTCGTTGCTTCAAACGAGCTACTCAACTGGACCCCAAGTTTGCATACGCCTTTACACTTCAAGGCCACGAACACGTTACCAACGAAGAGTATGACAAGGCCCTTACGGCGTATCGCCAGGCTATTGCTGCTGACAGAAGGCACTACAACGCATATTATGGTATCGGCAGAGTCCAGGAGCGACTTGGCGCCTATGAGAAAGCCTACGATCATTATTACGCAGCACAAACTATCAACCCTAATAATGCTGTACTAATTTGCTGCATGGGAGGTGTTCTAGAGAAGCAAAAGCAGATGGTACAAGCATTACATGCTTACACTAAGGCGGCAGAGCTGGCGCCAAGAGCAGCACAAACTCGGTACAAGAAGGCCCGAGCTTTGCTTACTGTTGGGCAGATTGAAGCAGCGCAAAAGGAACTCATGATTTTGAAAGACCTGGCTCCTGATGAGGCTACTGTTCACTTCCTGCTTGGAACTTTGTATAGGAGTACGAATGAGAGGCAGTTGGCCGTTCGACACTTTACCATTGCCCTAGCGCTGGATCCGAAGGTGAGCACTTACCCCCTGTCTCTTTTTTTTACATCATTTTTTCCCCGTTGTAGCCGGTTGTTTTCTGACATGACTTTTTTAGGCTGGACCAAAGATTAAAGAAGCAATTGAAAGTTTTGAAGAAGATGTACCGATGGATGATTCAATGATGGCATGATGTCACGAGTAATCGAAATGAGGCTTACCAACGGTTTCTCTGGGCAAGTCACAAACGTAGTCATGGGCAAAAGCAGCGGCGTTCTACTCAGGAGCTTTTATCGATGACAACGGCGACGACAGCATCATCGAATTCTGCCTGTGCAATGGATAGGAAGCCAAAGGAAACGGAGCTGCAAGTTGGAATAGAAAGCTGGCCCAGCTCGTGGCAGCGGGGCATACGGATTGGGATGAACATGTTGCATGGCATGATACGGCATGGCACTGGCGTTGTGAACTTTTGCTTTTTGGCGCTTTCAACTTTTTAGTTAGGCGGGAGTCATAGCAAGTCGGCTTGGATAGGGACTGGCGCTGAGTGGACAGGAGACGGGTTTGGGTTGCCGGTTGTTGTGTGTATCAATAAATGCGGTATGGTATATAGCATCGAATTGTACATTGTTGCCAAGAGCGTGCGCCCAGTCGAGGATTTATCACTGCTTAGCGTAGAAGAAGCCAGTGAGACCATCTTTGCCGGCGCCTGGCGATGAATCACCAATCCTGCTAGTGTCTCACGCATCGCGATGTGTATTACGTGGTATTTACGGTTTCCTGGCCTTAGTACGTCTAATATATTGTGTTTGCCACATACAATGCTTGCATGATACTTGAATGACTATTTAGATTAACTTAAAAAACAACGTAAAAAAGTAGAAGAAGCCAGGATGCCATAAAATCCATGTTGAAAAGCAAGGTCTGATCCCTAGGAGCGAGCTCGCTCAGAACAGGAAAACCAAGCACCTAAAGAGAACAGCCAAAGCTGTCGTTGATCGCCGAACAAGTCTCGACCGCAATGATGAAACGTTTCGAGGAGACCTGGCCTTTGTAGAAAGCGAATTGTCATGCCCAGCGGATAGAGGGAAAGACTACGGTTACCGAGCTAGCCCGCAGGCAGTTGATGGCATGACCCAAGGTCAACATTGAAGGACCGTCGACCGTTGTCATTCCCTGGCAGGGACTACGGGGTGCTCCGTAGGTGCTCCGTAAAACTGATGAATTCACAGGTAGCGCACGGAGTAGGAGCATTGACTTGTGGCTGCGAGCTTACCCTAAGAAATGCTGTGGCGTCGCATGTGGCTTGTCGCTCACCTCCCAAGCTCCCTAGGAGAGAGTGCTCCGGTACCTAGTACGCGTGCAGCCGACGAGTTCGCTGCAAGCTCCAGATCAGTCATCCAATTTCGGGAGCCAGATCACTCAGGTGCAGCCCCACATGCAGCATAGGACGATGCTTGGTGGCCTCCGCAATAACAGAGGTACACGCACGAAGAGGCAAGGAGCGAGGAGTACATGGCTGATTAAATTCACAAATCAGCAGGTACTTGCGGTCAGCCCATGCACCCATGCACCCAAGTCACTGCAACTTGACAGAGCGCAGACACACGCCCACCCCATATCAGGACTAGCGCCAAACACATTTCCCGAATTGGCCCCAGGAAAGGGAAAATAACACGGCGCATTTTCGCTGTTTTCCCACCTGTTCTCCACGTTACTGATCTGTGTTTTGAAAGTCCCTCGGGCGCGCGACTCGGCCAGCGTGACTGATTCCATCCACGTATTTATCTTGCCCTCCCCCTCGCGCGCCCCCCGTTGGTCTCCCCGCTTCTGATTTCCCTCTTACGCACACCCTCTCTCACTTTACACTCTACTTTGCATTTGACTCAACGTCATCAACGCGACAACGCGACACGTCTAGATACATCTCCAAGACCTCACATCTACATCTATCAATATGACTGGACGTAAGTGACTTTTCTATTTTTAATTTATGGAGTTTCATTTGATGCTTCTGAGGCCTGCATCCTTGCCCAACAAGTTCCGCAAGTCTTCGGGCCTGCAAGGACTCGGTTGAATGGCTTCAGACTTTCATCATAAGAGACACCTATCTGCATGACCGGGGTTCAAAAGCATCATGAATCATGGCCCAAATTACTTGCACCCGTGCTAACTGGCATCTCCAACAGGCGGCAAGGGCGGCAAGGGCCTCGGCAAGGGCGGTGCCAAGCGTCACCGAAAGATTCTTCGTGACAACATCCAGGGTATCACTAAGCCCGCTATCCGACGTCTCGCTCGTCGTGGTGGTGTCAAGCGTATTTCCGCCATGATCTACGAAGAAACCCGTACTGTTCTCAAGACTTTCCTCGAGGGTGTCATCCGCGACGCCGTCACCTATACTGAGCACGCCAAGCGCAAGACCGTCACTTCTCTTGACGTTGTCTATGCTCTGAAGCGACAGGGCCGAACCCTGTACGGTTTCGGTGGTTAAATATCGCTTTATGCCTCCGTTTCTGGCTTTACATTCACGTTATATTGGCCTGGCTTCTGTACATCATACACTACATGGGCGTGGCAGGCAGAATTGGAATTGGGCAGGACTGGGAAACCGAGTGGAGAATGGTTTCGGTGCGTTGCAACATGGGAACTATGTACTTTGCTTTTTGGCGTTGGGGGGAGACGAACTGGGTTTACGAGAAATCATGCAGGCGTCCCGACAGGCAGATGGACGACCTTTTAAGATGAATACCACATGGAAATTTCCAATAATCTTCTGTGCCATGTTCAAAATGTTCAGCGAAAATTTGCTCTTGAGCCGTGTGTTGCTGCCTAAAATTTACGCCAATAATGAAGTCTTGATTGATTTACCGTGGGTATCATGGTCTCATAGCCCGTGCAAACAAGCACCCTACGTGTACTAAAACTACAGATACTTCCGCCCTGCTGCCGCAACTCTCGCCCTAAACACGGGACTCGTGACCTCTGTATTTGCCCTGTAAAACGGATTCATGACAGCCTTTACCCAGTTGTCATAGACCTCGGTGAAGAACATCTTGATAGCCTCTTCCGTCGCTGGACTCGTCGGGTTGGCGCCAATAGCAGTTGATGATCGCGACGAGCTCGTGGACGTGGGCATGGTGGGTTGATGGAGCAAGAGGAATTTGACGTTGGCGCCGGTGACGAAACACGATATGTAGTTGTTGAAGAATCTGTCAATACATTTCAGGTACCTGTTTCCATCCATCAGCGGCTGCAAGACGAAAGAAAGGCGACAGCCCGTATTTGCGCATGTTGCGTTTCTCTCCCTTGTGGACTCGAGGGGGGACCGTACATTTGTCCTTGTGCCCATTGCACCTCCTCGGCTATATCTAGACTCGAATGCAGAATGAACTGGTTCAAGTGGCGGAGCTGATCCGAGAATCGGGACTGTCCATCGCCGCCCTGCTTGGACGTGCCGAATTCGTACTCAAAGAGGGGGTTGTCCTGGGCGCCGACAATGGCGAAGTAGTAGCTCATGACGGACGGGGGTCATTCGCGAAGCCGGCGCGAAGAAAACGGCGGATTGGGGGAGTTCTCCGTCGCGTCAACTACCATCGACGGCAAAGGAGTCAATTGAAGCTGGTGTCTGGTGGTGTTTTGCCCTTGCTGCTGCAGGCGGGGCGGGTGTGTGCCAGTGTCCAGCGGGAGCCGCAATTATTCCGCTCCACAGTCGCAGCCAGCGGGCAGCTTCATACGGCTCGGCTGAAAAGTTTCCGCCGCCATCTTCATCAGGCGTCGATTGAGTCCTGCGCAAACACCTCCCCACGAACTCGAAAAAAAATAATATCGCTAGATACCGCTGAGAAAATACGAATTGAGGAGACAGACCCGCCATGTTCGGCCCGTTCAGAATAACAAACCCGCTGTCGGGCGGTCTGCTGTGGAAAATCCCCTGGCGCCTGTCGAGGTTCCAGAAGCGCAGACACAGGTTACGGCTCCGTGCGGTGGATAGCGTCGTGGCCACGCTGGATTCGGCTCTTGCAAAGAAGGGACAGACGCTCGAGGCGTTGGAGCGGTGGAAGGCCGAGATGCCGACTGAGGCGGAGATGCTGCCCAAGGATAAATATACCTTGTTTGACCGCAAGGCGAAGCGGTACAGGAAGGGGATTCACAGTATGTTTCTCTGCTCTAGAGGTAGGAGAGGATCTGGCTAACGTTTTCCCTTGTAGAATTGCCCAAGTGGACGAGGGTGTCGCAGAGAGTCAACCCCCCCGGTTATTAAGAAGTTCTACTCTCGATCGATGATAGATGTGAGGGGGGGACACGAACGCTGGGAAGGGTGGGAAATCAAGGGCTGGGGATTGAATTGCCTTGTATCAACACTGTGGAATCCGATTGGGTCGGGTCGGAAGATGGTCAGATCATGAGCAGATGCTGGCTGATGTATAGAACTGTGGAAAGAACTACATTGCAGAGACAATGTACTTGTATCATTAGAACGGCGCCTTTGTCTATAATTTTCGGTCATATCACTACAAAGTTCAACATCCAAGTTACGCTGCTTCGCGGTGCCAACGTCGACCAGCCCGTGGTGTGGTCCGCTTCAAATCATGATCGTGTTGAATTTTACATAAGCCCTTCTACCGGGTATCAATATATGCCACTGAATACCAGTTCTCCCCCTGCCAAGCATTACCTATACCGATCCTCTTCCTCATAGTCCCTCTGCAAAGCTCGGCCAATACCACCTCGCCCCTCGTCAAAGTCCTCTCGATACTCATCTCTCACCTGTCCACCACTCTTGCCCCTTCCATACTGCCTGCCCTCTTCAAACCCAGGATCCAAATCTGTTCGGATGATGCGTTCGTCGAGTTTCGTACCGCCAATGTACTTCATGCAGTCCAGGGCATCCTGGTGTGTGTAGTATTCGACAAAGCAGAATCCGCAGGGTGTCTTTTGAAAGCGGTCTAGCCCCATGACGAGACGTTTGATCTCGCCGCATTTGGAAAAGAGCTCGTAGACCTGCTCTTCAGTCGTGTAAAATGAGAGGTTGCCGACGTAGAGAGTAGTTGCGTTGGCCAGAGGGTCGACAGGCGGTTCGGCGGGGGCATCTCCGTTAGCGGTGTCGTCATCCCGGTCGCGTCTGCGCTTGTTCTGGCTAAGTGGTTAGCTGGTGAGAGGTGGGAGGCGAGAAGGCGACGAACTCTGCTGTTGTAGTATGCGCTGGGGCGGTCGAGGCGGTCGACTGTGCTTCTGGTATCGTGACGCATTTTGAGGTTCGCACGGATGGAGAACCCTTGTGTGAGGTATAGAGATGATGAGGGTGTCTGAAGGTGCAATCGGGCTGTCCGGTGACTACGTTGCGCGAGGTGCCAGAACTATCATGGTAATTTACATTCGAGGTTGGGCGAAAGGCTGAGGTTGGTCGAGTCCTTGGTCGAGGGTCCTGGACCCACATCTCTTGCTATAATGGGAAAGACAGGCAATGTGTTGCAAGACCATCACCAGTGGTGGCAATGGGATGGCGGGAGATGATTTAATAAATAGCTTCCTGCTAGTCGCAATCTAATTTATTTCACTTAAAGGTTTTTGAAATATGTCCTTCTCCATGTTGAACTGAAGAATGGAGAAGGCAGCCTCGACCTTGACCCCCTTGAGGCTCTGTGAAAGCTGGCTATCGTTCAGTTCAATGCTGGCATGGGCCCGGGTTGCGGCATCAGCTTTCACGCTACAAAGGTCTCTAGTGGTCAACGGAATTTAAGAATTTGAAGAAAAATATCTTTAATATTTATTTATTTATCCAGCAAATATGCATGTTATATATGAGTTTGTTGCTGCCTGTTCGGCTGCCGCATGGCCCGCCGTCGCCAGGTTTTGGCCTTGAATTCAAAGTGGAGACCTGCGACAGACCCGCCAGCAAACGCGCGCTAACCATTTCGCGCTTTTCTCGGCCACTTATCAAGTTACTAGTACTTCCCTTGTTCAGCGTCAACTTTTTTTGTGTCCTCAATCGGAGCTCTCCCTTTACCAAGATTTGACTTTTTGCTTGCCCAAAACCCGAGCTTAACCGCAGCGGCGCCTGCTGAAGAGGCAACCGAAGCTGCAGCTCCGCCTTGATTCATCGTTCCCGCTGAGTCTCGAAGCCCCTGTGCTGCTTTGTTTTACAGAGGGCCGCCTTCACGACCTACGATGCCCAAGGTCAAGTCGTACTCGTCGGCATGGCTGTCCAACAACAATGCGCCGGGCCGCCAGCTATTTGAGCCTTCCGCTGAGGCGATCCGATCGCGGGCTCTGTCGCCACCCTCCAAGACCAGGTCGACCCTCGGTCCTAGGAGAACGATTGCTCGTCGGGGGACTGAGGTCTTTGTTGCTGTAGGCAAGGAAATTCGATGGGCTGATTTGGCCTACCTTAAGGATGAATGGTCAACTAGACAGCCAAGAGGGAGAACGGGAACTCGCTCTGCCGGAGCTCGCATCAAAAGAGAAGATTCCATACAGTCAATTGACGACGGAGAGATGGATGCTGCGCCTGGGTTGAGGGTATGTCGTCACCGCTTGGCCCCTACGACACCGAATCTTTTAACAGACTCCGTGTTGCTAAAGTTGCTAATCCGTCAAAAGATCATTAAAACTCCAGTAGCTGATGAAATCCGACAATTAATCATATCGCCAAACTCAAATTACTTGGCCATTCTAACGACACATACAGTTCATATTTGCGCCATACCCGACTCGTCGCATTTGACGAGCGAGGATACCTCTCCTTTACGACCCAAGATTTACACCCTCGGCCCGACCACACATGTCACTTCACGAGCTCCCATCATGTCAGTTCTGTGGCATCCTTTAGGAGTTAATGGCTCTTGTGTTGTCACCGTCACGGCGGATGCGATTGTTCGAATTTGGGAGTTATCAACTCAGGACCGCTGGTCGTTTGACTCGCCGACGACTTCGGTAGATCTCAAGAAGCTTGTGGATGGTACTACTCTGGATCAGGACTTTTCCGCGTCAAGTTCGACAACAAACAAGGCCTTCTCGCCAGATTCATTTGAGATGGAGGTATCCGCGGCAAGCTTTGCAACCAAGGGTTCAGGAGGCTGGAATCCCATGACTCTTTGGGTAGCCATGCGAGAAGGGGATGTCTATGCTCTTTGTCCATTGCTCCCCCAGAGATGGGCTCCCCCGCCGACATTGATTCCATCTCTGTCTGTTTCTATTGTCACAACCGTCGCCAGTATTGAAGACGATCCTGCAGTTGACGAGAACGAGAAACTGCTCGCTCAGCAACAGCTGCAGTGGATGGGTGAACTGGATGCGCAGGAACCTCAGGTCCTTGAAAGTCTGCCGGGAGAGCCTATTGTCGAGGTCTTTACAAGACCAACTCAGCCAGGCGTTGTTCCTCGACTACAAGGACCCTTCTGGCTTGAATCTGACCCCGAGACTGGCGATGACTTGGATACTACCATTACTGACATTTTGGTGATTGGGAAAAAGACTGACACTGATGAGCTCATGTTGGGAGAAGATGAAGACCTCGACCTGGATGATGGCGACCAGGAGGGCCTCTCGCTACCCGTTGTTTGTCTACTCTCTGCAAGTGGTCAGGTTAGGGTGTACTTGGATCTCGAAGGTATCCAGGCACAGTGGCTCCCGCCCAGGAACAAAGCAAAACTTGGGCGTTTACCGACACCGAGCAGCCCTCCCTCACTCCTTGCTTTCCAAGCCATTGATACGATGAGCCCTATTGAGATAAGCGAGGACTCATGGCCGGTATTCAGCAACGACGCCATGTCTAGGTACAGTTTCTTTGTTACGCATCACGCAGGCATTACATTTGTGTCGCTTACATCGTGGGTTTTCCGCCTCGAGGGCGAGCTTTTGGCGGACCACAAGGCTGGTACCGACTTCAGAATCGGGCTATTGGTCAACTCGCAATCCACTAGGGATAGGATCTACGCGCAACCAAGTGCCGACGTGGCCGTGCCTCTTGCAGCATGCGTTGCGATCAGAGATCCTGATCTGGGCTACTTTCTTCTTTCGGCGACGCCCTACGAGCCTGTGGCCCTGACATTTGAAACCCAAGACGTTGATCTCGCGCCAATCAAGCAAGAGAGCCCTGTGCGGGAGCGGGAGGTTAGCATGGCGCCGCTGGACTTTTACGAACCACGACCAGTCTACAACCCGCCCCATGTATTCGACGAGGGATCCGCTCTACCGACGTTGTTGGAGCGGCTACGAACATCGCGTCACAAGACAATCGTCAACCAGGAAGTGAGGCTCAGCCCGCTCACGCTGCAGATCTTCACGGATGCGCACAAAGTGCTAAGCGATGAGACGTACAAACTCGGGGTAGCGGCGGCAGAAGTTTTTAGGCGATGCGAGTTGCTCCAATCAGAACTACACCAGCAAGTGAGAAAGGCAAACGAAGTCAAGGGCAAGATTGATAGCATCAACGGGGCAGATGGAGATGGAGAGGGCGAGGCTGAGAACGCCATGTACGATCGGCGGATAGCCGAGGCGAGAGATCGGCAGGAGCAGCTCACCAAGCGTGTAGATAATCTGCGGAAGATTGTCGGGAAGGCTACGACGCGGGACCTAAGCACCAAGGAGCGCGCGTTTGTGGACGAGGTGAGGAGTCTAGAGGCCAGTGTTTTGGGACCAAGCAGTGGACAAGGAGACAGCGCTGCTCAGCAGTCGAAGCAGCTGTGGAAACGTTTGGAGGAGGTGAGGACGCTGCAAACAGAGCTCGTTGCGGAGGTGGAAAGTCTAAAGAAGTCGGGAGAAGTCGAAGTTGCGGCGACGGGGGACGTCAGAATTCCTCAAGACATTCGGCGGTCAAAACTGCAGCAGGTTCAGGGCTTACTAGCAAGAGAGTCGGCGTTGGTTGAGGCGGTGACTATGCGTCTACAACGACTCCAGACGACCATGTAGGATTAGATTTTTGATGTTTTTTTTTTTTTTTTGTAGTATATGACAGAAACATGTTGGACACGTCTAAACTGTCATGCATGACCCAGGAGCCCTTGTGGTGTGCATGAAGACGACGGCATGAAGCACATGGATGGTCATGAAGAAATCGGTGAAACTTGACACTGGCAACGACGCAGCGACAGCTACACGTGCATACGTCGCGGTTTGAAGCTGGATCCAAGACGGCGCAGCTTGCAGTTCTACATACATCCGAGTCATCCATTTGGCCCCCCTCGGGGGTCAGAAGGTCAGGCAAAAGAAAGGTCCGGGCTGCATCAAGAAAGGTTTCCCCATTGATGACCTATGCAAGGCCACGATTCGCCACCAAAGCACGGCCACCCTTTATGCAAAGGAACACATCCAACCGTCTTCCCTCACGACCAGCAGACGATCTGCCCATGAAAAACTACCCTTTGCCTGGCCGATGATGCGTCGGCATATTTTACAAATTAATAATGGTACGGAGTAGAGGCCACATGGCCCCCGTCTCGACTCTGATGAACAAGGGGAAAAGGAAACACATAAATAAAGATGAGGCTGTCAAGGTTATGCACACAAGCGCTGGTGAGCCAATCGGTTGTCTACAGCCCTGTTTTACAAACCCTCGCCTTTGCCCCCTTTTTTTTTTCCAAAATGCCAGCACAGCTATTGATTGGGGTAAACAAGGAGCGGCCTGCCCACGTTTTGATGCTCTTGTTTGCCATCGATCCAAGACATTTGCTCAGCGGAACTTTGATCTGCGGTACTCCGTACACCGTGAGAGAAGGGGGGGACGGTGTGGCTAGTTTTCATGTTATTTGTGTACATATTTGATTCTACTTGCCTGAGCTGGCGGGCGGTGTTCTCTGGGCGGCGATCCTTGCACGGGCGGGCCAGCAAGCCATGTGTACATATGTAGTCCAGGATTCTGCATGCGAGGCCAACGGGAAGTTTTTCGACGTTGCAGGACGAATTTTCGTACCCCGTCTTGACGTGGAAAAGACGCTGCGTTGTCTTGTTGGCCCCGGGCCCCGGGCTGCGCTGGGTTGAAGGGCATTGCCGCCTGATTCACTTGTATTGTATGGAGTACGGAGTATGTGTCAAGGCTGCAGTTACCAGGTGTCTCGCCTTGTGAAGGACGGGTTATAGATGTCAACTGGTGTTGATCGTGAGACAGATGTCGGGGCGGGACTCGGCGGATGGGATGGAACGAGCGGAAATAATGCCGGTGGCAATTGGGGTCGAAAAGAGAGAGAGAGGATGCTTACTTTTTGGCTCGGTATGAACGGTGGGAAAAGGCATTGCGCATTACGATTACTCT